ATTTTTCCTTGTTCTCATGTGAATATTACTGTGCTTAAAGTTATTTTGACCATATCAAAGTGTGGTAACGAAATTTTTTTTGGCGCTTGCAACTGTAAATAATGGGAGGGCGCCACAACAAGGGCCAAGAATTCTCGTTCCAGGTAAATGATAGAGAGCTCGGGCTTTTTTGTATCGTAGTAAATACCTATGGCCAGAAGTTGACAGAGTCCGATTTTTGAATTTCTCATTTACTGATTTCTGGAGCTTAATAGAACTTTAAAGTCCGAAAAAGTTCGATATCGATGAAAACATGTCCTTGTGCACTGAGCGATACCAAAATTCGTTTAAATGAGTGTTGAGTAATGTCGAACCGCGCATGGCTCTCAAAATTTTTGTTTTCGCTTGACCCCACAAGCATTCGATTAACTGTGTGTGACAGCCAGTGTGCGGGTCAACAAAATTTTGACTGTGGTTGACCTACAATTTAATTTAGATGCTCATCAAGTTTTGAAACTTGCATAGGTTCATTTACCTACTGTTTGATGATGATACCCATACTGCGTTTGTAAGTTTTTATATGCACCCCATTCATCGCACCATACGGTTGTTCCAGGTACAACATGCTTGAGAAAAGAGCGATGCCGTATTTAATTTATCCTCTTTGATCATACTATTCTTAATTCTTGTTCTTTTTTGAGCACAGAACATCTATAGAGAACATTTTTTCTGTTTATCGAATAAGGTAAGAAAAAGATAAAATTATCAAATGTGTCCTGTCCTATACACTAAATTTTATAACGAGTGCGATTTTCATAGTTACTAAACTTGTATTTTGTGTCAATGTTTGAAGAAAATAGCTATAGAAGATATAGGTGTATATTCTCTTTCTCATTCTCTCCGTTCATCATGAAGTGGAGAAACGAACAGAAAGAAAGAAACAGAGAGAGAGAGAGAGAGAGAGAGAGAGAAAGAAACAGAGCGAGAGAGAAAAGGAGAAGGAGAAAAACAGCTAATTTCAACGTAAAAACGGTTTTTCGGTTCTTTTTCAAAAACTAGACGTTCCACCAGAAAACAAACGCCGGATTTGGAATCTACATGCAAAAAGAAATCAGAATATGTATGCTATTATTCTCCAAACCGCCCACAAGAAAGTCAGCCTGATTTGCTAAGCAGACTCTATCTTCTTAGTTTGAAGAAAAAGCCTGACGTGAGTGGTCTAGTTTCATTGCATCATGTTCCCGAAGAGAAATCCAGGTAAAACAGGGTGAAATCAGCGCCTCAGCTGTCTGAAGACAAACTTCAGAGCTTTCGTTGCCCTGAGACCTGTGCTTTCGGGTGTTTTTCGACTCAAGAAGTTGATACCTTGCACAAGAAATGGATACTTTCGATGCTAAAACTGTCATGTTCGATGCTTGTAACAGTCCACACGATCTATTCTTCCTGCCTTGATGGTACTCCGCATCTGACCTTGGCTGATAAGAAAGATTTGTGTTAACGTAACTGTAGTGCAGACAAACTAAATTGTGCCTCTCCCTGTTGACATGTATGTTTCCTTCAAAAGCATTGTTTATCGACAATAACAAGGCTGTTATTTACATGCAAGAACTTCTCATGAATCTTATTTGTCAAACAGACTGAGCGTATTGACAAAGCACTTTTGAACACCATTAGCCCCAAGACAAGCCACGAACGAATGACCGAAGCGCACTAACGGCCAAACCACCTAGGCAGGTTACTCATAGGCAAAAAGATATTCGAAGAAGTCTTTTGGTAATCAGTGTCTACTCGAGCAACCCAGACAAGCCACGTGACAAAAGGCAAGTCACCAAGGCTATCGTTAATAATCTTTCTTTGTGAATAGGCGGTACCGTTTTGACAATCGGTGAAAGTCCTTTTAATCAGATTAAGGAACACATTGGCTTCCGCTCGGACTAATTTGCACGGTTGATCGCGCAACGCCGTAAGAATTAACGGATTGAGAAAAAGACGAAAAATAAATATGTACAAACTATCAGTAAGGCTACACTAACGATTTTTCAATATTGTGCATGCTCGCAAATGAGAACAGCTATATGAGAAAAGAAGGCATAGAAGCTGATAATAATAATTCAGTTTTACTGGAACCTGCAACAAGACGATATCCATTTTTTCTTCAATAGTTGTTCCTTTCATTTAATTATTTCAAATTCCTGTATTCCCGCAATGAGAGAGTGACTAGAAAGTGGATACTGAGACAAATTTGTCATTAAATTTGTTAACAAAGCAGATGTAAAGAACACATGCAGACATATCTCTAGTCCAAGTTTCGGCACGATTCATTAAAGTATTAATGGGAAGGAAGGTCGATTCTTCCATTTTGCCTCATCATGGAGTGCTTAATTTCTAGAAAAACATGTCAAAAGGAGACTCTTTCTTCTTAGTTTGACGAAAAGCAGTATACTTATACAGAATACGCATCTCCCTACCACTGTTACCCTCATCAACAATTTATCAATCGATTTTTCGATAACCGTTAGAAATGGCCTTGTGTATGATGTTGTGTACTTACTGTACTGAATAAATTTAGCAGCACGTTAATTAATTCTGACAACCTTGCGCAGCCAACGGTGCATATTAATAGTGCACAGGTAACGGAGCTTATAAGAAGCAATCAGGCATGTTTATATTCAATTCAATATCGTTCTGACACTTTCAATCATATTCGTTTCTAAACCATACACAGATTCGCATCGGTGGTTACTTGAGTAAACCATCTGTTCTACTTTCGCATGTTATACCAGGGACTATTTCAAGAAAAACACTTTTTATAATTATTACAAGAACATTGCTACACCTATTACGGCCAGCACACACATAGAAGTCAGTATCATTTTTTTTTGAAGTATATATAAGAGCCACTAAATATAAGCCACGAGCTATTACCGTAGAATACTCCTCAATCGACCATCGCAGATTTCGTTCAAAGTAGGCGACATGTTTATTTCATTGATTATGAAGTTATTTGGAGCTAAGTCTTTAAATTTGGAAGTCAGTTAAATATATCACTATATGTAGATGGTTTTTGTTGTTTCTCAATAAAATTTGGTACAGTTAAAACTCGAGTACACAAGAAAATACAACAAAGATAACGTTAATAACAACATTTCTACTACTATCGGCACCAAAATTCAATGCACTTGGTTGTTTTTCGAATAGGTGTGCTCTACTTTACCAATACAAGAATGTTTTTTACTATTCTCAAGTAAAAAATCGTCTTGAGCAAGTAAAATAAAGTACACCTTGGTATTCTGACATAATTTGGACGGATCTTCACAGGATTATGACTTTTTAAATTATACTCGAAAATAGGCAGAAATACCTAATATAGGTTTTCACTGGTTTATTGGAGGTTTTCTGAAAAACAAATATTGCCACGCGATTCCGCGAGGTTGATAACGTATGTTTCCATTATTTTCGGAATTACCACACCTAAAGAAATATTGATCCTGAGACTCTCAGAAAATTCGATGCCACGCCTGAACCGGGAAAACTTAAGAGTTGGCTTGGTTCGCATTTTGGAGAGGACACTTTGGACTATCTGTATATGGGAAAAAACTGATAGATTGCTAGCTCAGTTTCCAGAGATCCGAAGTGCTTTTTCAAAGATCTCCTATAAAATCAATCTTTCGAATGGTTTTGGAAAAGGGTTTTGCTTATGAAAACATAGGTTAAACCGTCTTCTTTCAATTGTTGCAAGTCCCTATCTTTTATCGTTTTAGCCTTATTCGGAAAACAACCGAGTGCATTGAATTTTGGTGCCGATAGTAGGTATATCCGACGGTTTTTAACCAAAGTCTAATTCTTCTTACAACACGGTTCAAAGTCCGGATAGCGATTTTCTGCAGAGAAGTAAAAAAACAGTCAAAACAGCACAAAATATAAACTAATACTACGTTCGCTCTAAAATTGACTCATACTCTTAGAGTGTCACTTCGTCACTTCAATCTCACTTCGTAACTTCAAGTGACATTTCAGTCATAAGTGCACACATTGAAGTGAGATTTTTCCCCCTTGGCTTATTTAGACATAAAAAATTAGATTAGCGAGTGAATTTGAAGGCAAAATAACACTGTGTCATTAGCAAAACATAAAGATACAATCTTTCACTAATTAAGGACATTTTTCAAGATGTTATATCATGTTCTATATTCATCAATGTATGAGTGAATATGCAGCAAAGTGTATATCACACAAAGACAATCCTTGTACAGATAACGGACAGAACAGAACAAATTTCACTTCTGCAGGAAAAGCTGCAAAAGTACACTTTGACGTTCTGTCATATATCATGTACAACGATTGAAGTTGTGGAATACGTCAACGGTCGGTATCACTCTTCTTACCGAGTAGTATACAGCCGACCTCTATTTATACGAGGATTTATACGGTGATACTGACCGTTTGAAGTATTCCACAGCTTCAATCGTTGTACATGATATATGACAGAACGTCAAAGTTTACTTTTGCAGCTTTTCCTGCAGAAGTGAAATTTGTTCGGTTCTGTCTGTTATCTGTACAAGGATTGTCTTTGTGTGCATATTCGCGTTGCTGCATATTCACTCATACATTGATGAATTATCTAGCTCAAGAAAAACTATCTAAAACTATCTGTTCTGCTCAGAAAACATATCACCGCCAACGAGACCAAAAAACAGCAAATAAATTTACCCGCTATCAATTTAACATCACACATACCCTGCAACTTCTTTGATCAATAAAGAAGTCACTGTTTTCATCCTCCTATTTCGAAAACTGGCTAAATTTTCTAGAGCGAGACTCTTCGAAAAAATTCTACAGATGTTCCTTTTTTGGTGATAGTGGAGGAAGCACCTCTTACGGTCGCACATCCCATCCACCAAGATAGATAGCCGACGTTCTTTTTATAATTCAACGATTAATGAAACTGATGGAATCGATAAAAGTTGTAATCACTGACTTGTGAAAAAGACTTTTTTTTCAGACGAAATTGCAATATCACTATGAATGAATGTGGAACGATAGCGACAAACAATAATGATGAGCCACAAGCAGAAGTAATCGGCGATGAAACAAAAGCAATTTTTTTCGATACTGCTCATATTACAATAAAGCGTGTTTGTATCCTAAGCATCCATCCAAATTACACGATTGAAGCTGCTTATGGTGACTCTTCAACTATTTCTACTACTGAAGAAAAACAACAGCATACTGTAATTCATCCACATGATACTGAAGAAGTATTAAAGCAATTAGATCCAAATATTAATGTGCAGACGATTTATTTAGTTCCAAATGTCAGACAAAGCATTGCCGCCATTCGTCGAATAGAACACGAAGTTGATATATTTATTAATTTGTACGATAATTCAGATGATACAGCAACAAAAGTTATTGAATATATGCAAAATCAAGGCATCGCATTTACTGGTGCTGGTCTACATTTTTGTGATCCGACTCGAATTGAATTAAAACGATTATGCCAATACAGTCAATTACCAACACCGAAATTTGCATTTTTGACTGGTTCAAATAATCAGTATAATAATGTTTTAAAACAATTACCAGAAAAATTAGGTGGTTTTCCACTATTTATTAAACCTGAACATGGTTACGATAGTAAGCTCTTCTTATTTGAATGCTTGATGAAAGTAGATATAGAAAAAGAGTAAGAGTTAAACATCGGCAAAGCTTATTGGTTGAAATATAAAATGCACTCCAGCAATATGTTTTAAAAACGACTAATCAGCATCAGTTTACCAACACAAATAGTACATAACAGCTGTTGAAGATCAAAGTTAATATCGCCAGTGAAATAAAGAGGTGCTACAATATCATGGTTACAGGATGTGTGGAAGCATATCTGAGAATATGAGAACAAAGTTTGTTCTGTCTTGTATTTGTAAAATTTCTTATACCAAACAGAACACAAAAAACATACCAAAAAAGTTACTACTGATAACATCGAGTCGATTACACAACCTCAATCGTTATACAGAATACAGACACAGAACAGTGAATTTAGTTTTGCAGTTTACTGCAAAGCTAAGTTCATGTGTTCGAATCTCTATTTGTACAAAAATTGTATTAGTTTAGAATAGATGGAATATTTTTCCGCTTGTATTCTGACAGAATAAAGCTTTTACCAAATTTCTTTAACTACCCGAAAAACATAATTGGACTTTAATCGAAATGTATTCAGTTTTCGATCAAGCATGCTCTCACGCACTGTGAAGAATTTTTACATGACGAGCGCAGTGGTCTTGTTGCGTTAGAAAAATGTACCCTTTCTGAGAGTACTGGATCAATATTAAATGAGATTTCAAAAGTACAAGAAGAAGTAAACTTTGTCGTATTCTCAGCAATAACGGCGTAACTATGAGGCGGCAACATCTATTTGTTTTGCTGAAGATAGTAATTCTGATATTCCAGATCTATCCTAGGGTATTTGAAGTTGAAGGCGAAAATACGCGTTCAGGACTACTTGTCTTCAAAGCCAACTCCTGATGAAGTACGGAGAAGTACCACGAAGTACAGAAGTACGCTTTTCCCCTCTTGACTATCATCTATACTACGCTGCTTTTCCGTTTCGTCACTTAAATTGTAACTATTTTAGTGCACAAGTTAATTAGTACTTTCTGACAACGTGAGATTTTGAAAAAACAGGGAAAGGACTAATCAAATGACGGTGTGTAAGTGTGCAATATTGAGGGTTTTGTAGAGCAGAAAATCTTTTGTCTTCTGAAGTCAGAATGAATTCTTGGAAACATACGATATACAGACAAAAATAGGTACAGGAATAACCCCATAATCTTAGGACCATTTGTTGTAAGTAGCTAAATGTTAGGAAAAATATTACTTTTCAACGTGAATTAATTAAATCAATACGATTTCCTTACGCATAGTACCTGTGATAAATAGCTGACAGAAACTTTATTAAATAATCAATTACGTCTAATATAAAAGAAAAATACAAGCTGTTCCATTCGTCGCAGTTATACTGTTTACGTGTCCTTACTCTACACAATCTTTTTAGATAATAAAATGATATACAATGAAAGAAGGTAATGGATTTTGTAGAGCAGAAAATTCTCTATCGAATGAGCCTAGAATTGAGTCTTAAAACCTCAGATAAATGCAAGGAAGTAAGTTGCAAAAGTATGTCATTCTTCCGTTATGGGAAAAAAATACGAAGAAGGAATATAAACGCAGACGGTAAAGCTAAAAAAATAAGTGGTTCAGTACGTAAGAAAACATTTGGACTCACTCTCCAGCTATAGCTCTGTGCAGCTGTATCAATTTATTATTTTTTATTGAAAAAGCAAAATTTGTTTTCTCTATAGAGAAAAGAAGTTTTGCTAGAATAAATAATAATTAAAACTTTTGCAGCCATCATTTTTTTGTCTAAATGAAGCTCAAGATAGTTTGCTCTCCTATGAAATGAGTAAATATTCATAAAATTCAATGCGTAAAACTCTCGAAAAAGACAAATGCAATGTTACTATTTCTAATCACGAGACAATTTGACGGCGAAAGTGTCTTAATGTGGTGCTATAATTTGCACCCCATGTACTTCGTCTACGTTGACTGCAAGCTTCTGAAATGTGTTTTCACGTGTTTGTTTAAAAAGTAGGTATTGGAATCAGTACAAAATCATTGGTTCGCAATATTATTGATTTACAAGAACATTGTGCAAAAATTGTCGATGAATTTGGCGGTGCTCTGGTTGAAGAATATATTGAAGGACGTGAATTTACTGTCTTAGTTGCTGGTACCAGAGACAATATTCATGTGTTTCCTCCGGTCGAATATCATTTTTCTGCCAATAAAACATTTATCACATTCGAAGATAAATGGGGTGGGAACTGCACAGACTCACATTGGCATTTCTTAAGCGAAGCAAAAGGACCGGAAGAGCAACGATTAATTCATGATTTAATGTTATTAGCTGAACACCTGTATGAATCATTTAATGGTGACGGATATGCTCGTATAGATATACGACAAGACAACAAAACAAAACAATTATCAATATTAGATTGTAATCCTAATTGTAGTGTATTTTATAAGTATTCATGTTCAGCTGATTTGATCGTGCAATCTGGTGGTTGGTCGAGGGAAAAATTCATGAAATTTATATTGGAACAAGCATTAGAACGTCGGCGACAATATCATTTGAAGCATGCATATACAGTTAAATATTCACTACAAAACGGTTATGCAATGTATGCATCAAGAAATTTACTTGAAGGGGAGTTAGTTTGTACAGACGAAAATCGTTCATTGAAATTAATAACAAAAAAATATGCTGAACAAACACTCAATAGAAACGAAACGATATGATTCAATAATAATGGTTAGTGCATTTGTTTGTTATCTTTTCACATTTCTGTTGATTTTTATTCCTACATATAACAATACCTCGTTTTAGCTTGGCCAATTTGTGACAATGTGTATGTTCTTTGGCATGAAGATAGTAGCCAATGGCGACCGATTAATCACTCCTGTGACCCAAATGTATGGATGGATGGATTACAGTATGTTGCTCGAAAATCTATTGGTAAATATATTTGTACTTTGTAGCCTAATGACACGAATGAGTTTATACTGGGTTGGAACAATAAGTATAACAGACAAGATATCGGGACGATATACAAAAAGTCAGGTCGAAAGTTTCGACGGTCGAATGAGACACCGATATTCATCAGATCGTCTCGCTTTTATTGAATTCTTGCAGCACTGATGTCGACCATCTCTTCCATTTGCGTGGTTCGATCCTATTCGACGATTGTCGTTTTGTACTTTATCCTATTCTCTTCTAGTTGCCGTCCCATTCTATTTAATCTTACTCTAAACTAGTTCATCAAGATAATGCGTCTGCCATTTCACTCTTATAATTAACTTATTCGACACAGTTTTTCACTACGACGGATTGCTCTGTCAATGAATCGAGAGAGATAAGAGCTCACATGGGGAGATTCGTTTGAGGAAAAACAAACACAGATCAACGTGCGTCATGTACTTGAGGTTTTGTATTGGGAGCAGCTCTAACAAATCAGCTGTGAGAAAGACTCTCAGTTTTTATGTTGCCGATTATAGGAAATTTCGAACTAATGAGTAGCCCAGAATTAATGTTACCCTCAGTATTTCGATAATATCTTCTTCACCCTCACCCTCGCTTATTGCTCGCTTCAGTTTTCATTGCTCAGACTTAAACTTCTCTCTAAAAGATTCGCCCTGCTATTCTGCACAAGGTTAGTTCTTAGCATTTACTAAGTTTTCTGTTGTGGACATTGTCAGCGTTCTATTTCCCCTCAAGGACTGGGATAATTTGCTGGAAACTGTGGATGTGGAAGCAGATATAGTTGATTCATCCATTATACGCTAGCAAATGGAGAACTGTGGAGCTTAAATGACATTGTAAGGAATCTTTGACGAATCCCTCATGTCTTGGAGGAACTTTTGTAGCTTTACTAATACTTAGAATAGAATTAATTTCCATTTTCCAGTCCTTGAACACTGCTGAAATAAGAGAGAAAATAAACAGATTACATAGATCTAGAAACCTTTAAACCAATGCCATTGCATTTAACTTCATTTTTTCCTATTGTATTCATAGGTATATATCAAGAATTGACTATGGATTATTCAACATTTACAAACACGCCACCAAATTTTAAATGTCGGTGCGGCACATCTTTATGCCGTCGTGAACTCAAATCAAATGAATATAAAGAAAAATGGTTTCAAGATCGTTACGGATCATATGTCAGTCCATATATTTTGATGTTAATTGAAATAGAAAAAATGAAAATTAACAATTAGTTCAATTAAAATTGTTAACTAAAGGGTGGCGCAGAAATAATTATAGTCTCAGTAGTTGTTGCTTTTTCTTCTCGTCCTTAGGTTTGATCTAGCTATCTTTTTAACCAAAAGATTCCTCGTCCAATTCTCTACAAGATCATACTCAAATTTTTATTTCACAGTGTAGAAGTAGAACGCTAGCTGAGATATACTGAAAGGCTTCAAAACTTATTTTCTTCGTGTGTAACTCGTGTGTAGTTGTTCCAAGGAAGTTGAGTTGTTCCCATAGGAACAATTAATTAACCATTGTATAGTCAATGAAAAGCTCTGTCCATTTGCTATGTCCATTTTTTTAATCATCAAAATATATCGCGTTATAGAATATTTATATTTTTGCTGATTTTGAAAAACCATCGTTTTGCTTCTACTGTTTCGTGATATTCAAGAAAATTCTCATAAGTCGAACAAGAATAAATCTTTTGAGCATAATAATTTTTCACTTTGAAGTGAAATGGATGGTTCATTATAATCAGGCCTCAAAATTTTAATATATTTTTTCTTCTAATGAAATATGCAAAATTAGTCAATGTTTAGCTGTATTTGATCCAGTTTCAAGAAATCAATACTTGTATCGTACTATCTAGTTAAGACGGCCTTTAATATGGAAAACGAGAGAAGACACACTTAATTGTGCCCAAAAACTTACTGGCGCGTGTTCATGCTTGCTGTTCCTGTAAATTATTGCTATCCAATCCTGATCATCAGGATTTAACCAAATTTCTAACTACAGAAAATTATCTTAACTTGAAATGTGTCATGTATACATTTTTAAATACGATTGAAGAAGCTTTGAGCAAAATCAAACACAATCGAAAACTGGCCTACCTTATCTGTGTCATCAACGTAGTCGAAAACCCTCATTTTCATGTATATCTGACCTCAGTCGCTCAAAAATATACTTTTCAAGTATCTGGAACGCGAGAATTGTTGCTACGGTGTAACAA